TAGATGACATGGTAATAAAGAAAGAGTGCTTAACTTTGTGAAAAGTTATCAGACCCATTACCGTATCTTCACAAGCTTTCCAAATTTCGACAGTATAAATATGTACCATGATTAAGCATCTTGAATTATCAGTAATCATAAGGCAAACCCTAAACTAGCGACCTGTGAATCCGAAAGTTTCCCCCTTCCCTTCATCCATTGATCGTTTGAATCCCGAACCGATAAAGTTTCAGGGTAAAAAACTTGTGTGAAAAGGATTAAAAGGACATAAAAGTGTGGTGATACTCAATTCAAATTCATTTCTTTTTCTTCTTCAAGGTGGGAAAATTTCTCCAAATTCTCCACACACAATTTGCACATGAACAAGAATCTTCTCTAATAGGGGGCCGGAGATGGAAAAAAGAGAGCAATAACCCTAAAATAAAGAACCCTAGGCAAAGAAAAGTCCAAGAGTTCATATGAATGATCATGTCGTATTATCTGTTTACTATGTAGGTTTTGTAAAACAAGGACGTTATAATGAGAAATCAACACAATAGATACATGGGGGTCCAAGGTTTTCGCAGCTACAGCTAGGGTTAGTATCACATCAACAGTGTTACTAGTGTTAGAGTATATTATTGGAAGTGACAACCTGATCGTGACATGTTGTAATAGTGGCCTTTTCAATTGTTTCACATCGAACGTATATATTTTGTATATATAATTAGGTCTAAACATGAAAAATACATATATGTATGATGAATAATGGTACGTATTCGTCAAAGACCCGCAGACAAACATCCGTTTGCACGGATTACATGTGAAAACCAATGGAACATAGATGAAATAAGAAAAAAAAGCCGCAAACGATAAACACAGTTAGTCATACACCCAAATAATGTCAATTAAATTTAAAACGACAAGAAAGATATAAAATTGCTGCGATTTAGTTTGGTTACGGATTTACATTTATGTAATCTTCAAGAGAAATTAGACTTTGAATTGTCGTTCTTCACATTCTATATAAGACATATTCCCGTGATATGTACAGAATTGAGCCCTAGAAATGCCGAAACGCACGTTAGCGAATTCAAATCATTAATGATAATCATTTGTTCCATTTTTTTTTCTTGCACAAAGCAGATGATGGTGTTACAGTGTTTTTTTTGTGTGTGTGTGTGAAATAAATTTGTTGACGTAATTTAATTAACCTATGGGTTTCTGCCAAGAGCATATTAGACTATTATTGTTTGGTCCAAGTTATGATGGAAGTTAGTGGAAGTAATTTAGTAAAGTGAAGCATCATCCATAGGCTTTATCAAACTATTTTTTTAAAAATCTTATAAACTTAATGGAATTAGGGCTCATCATTAGAGAACCTCATACATGGTTTTGCTAAAAGAGGAAGTACACATCTCACACCGTATATATAGCTTATGGAACATTGGGTACGGAAAAAAATATATATGTGGGTTGGTTTTGAGAAAGGATAATGAAATATAAGATTTTTAGTAGGATCGGTCCAAATCCACTCTTAATTTGGTGTCAACGTTTTAGGTTTTCATATGAAGACTCAAAAGAATTTCAATAAATACTGATTTAAAAAGAACTTTGATCAATCCCCCATAGATATTATCATATTGGAATAAAGTTCTCTATTTATTAAACAAAAAAAAAACACAAACCGTGTAGGTAGAGACACATTAGCAAGTGACAGATGCGCATCTAACGATGTTTGACTATTTAAATTTGTTAATGAAGATGCGATTTTTTTTATTGACAATTTACTATAGGTTTGTCTATGAGCAGGCCTCAACAAAAACCACCACACCTTGTATAATATCCAACTGTATATATTTTTGTGTAATGCATTCAAGGGAGAAAAAACACCAAGTAAAAAGATCAATGCAAATTTATTATATATATATATATATATATATTAATTTAGTATTAAATCTATAATAACCCTTAATACATATATAGAGAGAGGTTGCAAGAGGGAGGTGGGGGTATGAAGTGTGGTAAAGGGTTTTGCAGAGACAGTGGGACCTTCTAAATGAAAAGAAAGGGTACACATATACACATACATATATACATATACTCCTAGGAAACTAGACTAGTACTACTTTGTCCCTAACATCTCTGCTTCTTCTTCTTCTTTATAAAAAAAAAACAATCCATGTGAATTCTTCATAACCACATTTTTTTGTATGGCCAAATTTCAAACAACACGCACAAGAGATCAGTCTTCTAATCAATCTTCTACATGTGTTGATTATGAGAGAAGATGGTGCAACTTGGACACAACAGTTCTTTGAATAGTTTTTTTTTAATTTTCTTTTTTTTTATGAAAAAATATAACTTTAATTGAATAGGATATGATATATATATATATACTAGTAGAAGAATAAGTAGTTTTATTGTTCTACCTATCCAATAGCAATTACTATATAGAAATCTTTATTCGGAAACAAATATATATGCATATATGCGTCAGGTACCATGTTTTAATCTCTTAATTTCAAGCTGTGGGTGAAAAAAGAAAGAAAGAAAATCTCTTCCAAGTTCTAGATGACATGTCTTGGAGGAGTTCTTGAAAAAAAAAACAGTTAAATAATGTTCATTAATTAATTTTATTTGGTTACCATGTGTTAATCAAGATTTGGTCTCTCATGAATCCAACCCCACATTTATTAGCCGATAACCCTCATTGAAAATCAATCACCCAAGTGTGTGTGTGTGTATATATATGGAAATCCAAACAATTCGTGATTTCAGGGTTATATATATATATATATATATACCATGTTATTTTTGAGGTTACAAATATTTCATAGATGGGTGCGTACGTGTATTTTTAATTGTTGAGCAGGAATTCATATACTTCATTGGAAAAAACGGAAAGGAAGAAATTAAGGCAAAAGAGATTGGACTTTCCAATCCCTCCCTCGGGATTGCTTATATTGTTTGCAGTGGTCATGTGTCCGATCGAACAAAGTCAAACAACTTTTTAATGAAATCATTTTAGAAAATCCAATTACTATATAAACCGTCATATATATGATCATTCAATATAAATATATATGTGTGTATGTATGTGTGTATGTATGTATGCATGTATTGTCACGTAATTTTGTAACATTTCTATTAGAGAGAGAGATATATCCATATCGTGTTTTAGATAAATATTTCTCCGAGTATGAGAGGTTACACATTTAGAACGAAACGTTTTTGGTCTTCGTTGTTTTTCCGAGAGAAAAAAAAAGGGGGCGTTCTTAGGACATTACACAAATTTAAAACCTAAAATGTGTTTTTTTATTGATAATATGGAAGTTGATCCTTTGGCCAAAATATATCTTCCAAAAGAACAGAAAAACCTATGTGAATGTCCCTTTTCAGATGATGGTTCAAAACCGGATTGAAAAAGAGTTTTATTCTCTTCTTACCGATTGAATCACTTGATCTTGGGTTAAAATGTGTTTTATATTGTCATCTAATGACCTTGTGTTTCATATTTGTACTGTCCAATACTCTTCCTATAAAAGCGGTCCAAAAAAAATATTTGAATTTTGAGACATCGACCTCTTGAGTTATTTGAAAAACACTAAATCCATGTGATGAAATGTTTTTCATGTAAACTTCACCGAATAAACTTAAACTTCATATAAAAAAACCTCAATCCAGAACGATTTTTTTTTTATATCCAAACATCGACAGCAATTTTTTTTTATATTGTTAAATTTAGATATGTTTTTATTCTAATGGTATGTGTATATATATATATATATATATATATAATCGATATCATTTTTTTAGGGTCAGATTTTACCTCGAAACTCTCTCCAATAGAGGGATGGAGCATAACAAAAAAAAAAAGAAAAAAAAAGAAAAAAGAAAAAAAAAGACAGAGGCCTACGAGCCAAGACCAAGAGCACGCCTTTTTGTTTAGGGACTTCTAATCTCGTTACTAACGAAATCGATCCAAACGAAACAACAAATAATCCTAACAGATTTAAAATGTGATATAAAAGGGGATGATTTTAATTTCTTTAAAATCGAAGTAAAACCGAATAAAAATATAACAAAAAAAGGCAAAAACAAAAATCTTGAAAAAATGAATATTTTTTACAATAAAATCCAAAATCGAACAAAACCGAACCAAAATGAACCGAATTCATCTGTTTTTAAAACCGAAATAACTGAATATAATCAAATCGAAACCCGAATAGATCACCCCTAGTTTTGCTATTTTATCGTCATCGAGGAGAGAAACTCCACAAGTTGCCGGATTTTTGACAATACACAAATCCTCCATCAAACCGTAAAAGCCTTGCCTGAAAACACAGCGGTCAGCCTCTAAACTGAAACACAGAGTCTTTTAGAAACCCTAACTCCACGCATAACCAATCAAGTTCAAAGCGAGACAAAGTATCTCATTCCAACAACCACAAAGAATATAATAATTCGCAAGATCACATCTTTCGGTTGTGTTTCGCCAATCAAGGGTTAAAAGCTTCAAAACCCAAAAGAACCCTTTCTTCAGACTCTGTTTTGCCCTAATCTAACGGCACTATCATAACCCCCCCCCCCTGTAATCTAATCTTCAAAAGCATGTGTTTGTGCGTACGGTCGGTTTTAAGGAGGGGGAGGGGGCTTCACTTCCGGTTTGTCCTCGTCCATCTCATCCTCGCCCGTGGAATACCTGAAAAACCAGAGATATCAACATCATTGTTAAGCACTCTTCCCCAGCTCAAATGGAGGTAGCTGATTTCTCAACATTGAACATTCATCTTTTCGGGCTACCTGTTTTTAACCAACTTCCTGAAAATGTTCTTAATGCCCTGATGATTTCTAAGATTTCGGGTAAAAGTTCAATCTTTACTAGGGTGCTATGACCGAGTAAAAACCATCACAGTTCGGACCACCTAAGATAAAAAAAAGTGCCATTGACTCGTTAAGCTCGCCCCTTATTTCTTTCCTTTACCGACTTGTGGTACAGCAGAGCAGGAAAGCTTACCTGTCTGTGGGAAAATCATGAAATTGGTCACCACGAGGAGGTTTCTCATCCTCGTCTGAATCTGAATCATAAGTTGAACTGCCACTCCAAATGCGAGGTTTTGGCCTTTTCTCCATCTCCTCTTCCGGCTTATGAAAAAAAAAAGGGTCGAGACAACGGTCAGTCCATTGGGACAAAAACGACCCAAAATGAGGAAATTGTAAATCGTTTCAAGGTACCTCCTCGGAGAGTTGACTGATCGGTGGAGTGTGCTGGAACTGTACACTAGGCGTGTGTATCAGTTTAGAGAGTTGCTCCAATAACGTGGTCCTGAAACTCAAAACGAAAAATTGGTCGGAACTCTAGACAAACAACAAAAAGGATGAGAAAGAGAGCCAAAAAGTTCAGAAGCTTAAAAGAGAGAGCATGTAAGTTCCCAACTAAATCCCCAAATTAACGGCATTGCAGCAAAATCAGATTAAACGAAACATCAAGAAACTCTAACATAAGGAGTATCAGCAGCATCCTACATGATCAGTAAGAGATCTCAAACACATTCCTGTAAGAAAAAGGCTGACTTGTATGAAGCAACATAAATACAATATCCACAACAGGCATCATGAGATTACCTTATTTTTTCCATATCTTTCGGTGCGTTTAAGTTTTCCATGGGGCTTGGATCGACATGAAGTGTATAGTCTGGCCCAAAGTACTCGAAATACTCGTTGTAAGGAAGTTTGTTCTCCGGCTCCACACCAACAGCAACTGCTGTCTGAGACAAAGACAAACAGACACCTTTCAATAACAAGACTTTAGCTAACCAGAAACTAAACCCTAGTCCTGAAGCAGAAAGACCGTGACACAGACCTCATAGCACCAGCATCGGGCGACATTGCGGATAGTATACCCTCCACCGCCCAATACCATGAGAGGAATATTGAAAGATCTCAAGAACCGAAGGCAATCAGCATGGCCCTTGACCGATAAGTTGAAGCAACCCAATCGATCACCGCTTAAAGAGTCAGCCCCGCACTGAAGTACAACTGCTTCTGGCTGATACACCTCCATAACCTTCTGTATAATCGGCCTGAACAAACGGCGGAAACTTTCGTCGTCCATACCGTCATTCAAGGGAACATTCAGAGCGTAGTATTTCCCCTTGTCGACCCCTATGTCTCTTATGTGTCCGGTCCCTGGGAAGAAGTCCCCAAATTTGTGGAAAGAAACGGTCATAACCCTATCAGTGGTGTAAAAGGCTTCTTCTACTCCATCTCCATGGTGAACGTCAATATCTATGTAGAGAACCCTCTGCCAACGAAATTGAAGAGAGGCACTCAGATTCGAGTCATGGGAACATCGTAGTTAAACTTGAATATCAAATGGGTACAACAATTTCTTACTTCAACCCAAATTTTCAAACTACCCATCTCTCGCGATGTCGATCAAAATCAGAAAATTGTGAACGTCATAGGCGAACACCAAAAATTGAATAGGGAAACAAAAACCGAGAAGGAATCAGGAATTTACCCTAAAAATCTTGAGGAGCTCGAGAATCCCGAGGACGATGTCGTTGACGTAACAAAACCCAGAAGCCTCGCTCTTCTTAGCGTGGTGGAGACCACCGGCCCAGTTGATGGCGATGTCGGCGTCCTTGCGGTTGAGCTTGATCGCGGCACCGAGGGAGCCACCGGCGGAGGCGCGGCAGAAATCGAAAAGGCCGTCGAAGACGGGGCAGTCCTCGCCGACGTTGAAGCGCTTGAGGCTGCGAGACAAGGAAGGATCGGACATGGATTCCGGGGAGACGGAGGAGAGGAAGGAGACGTATTCGGGGGCGTGAAAGCGGCCGATGTCGGAGGCGTCGGCGAGGGAAGGGCGGGAGATCTCCATGCGGCGGTGGAGGTGGTAGTGGACGATGAGGCTGTGAGCCATTCGGATCCGGTGAGGCTTCATGGGATGGCCTTGACCGTAGTAGTAGTCGCCGATCGTCGGTTCGTAGAAGTAACTCACTCGCCGCTTCCGAGCGTCCGGTCCCGTCGACGGCAGCGAAGCCCCGCTCTCGTCACTCTCCATCTCTCTCTCTCTCTCTCTCTCTCTCTCTCTCTCTCTCTCTCTCTCTCTCTCTCTTCTTCT